TTCATACACACAACACAACATTAGAATGAGCTTTTATCTACGCCTACATGATTATAATCTGTCAACATGACAGGAAAATCCACATGACATTAATACAGAGCGGGCAGAACCCAAATCCAGCTCCAGTGCCGCACAAAACATGTTTTCGATGGACGAGTGAAAATGGAACGCACACGCTATTTGTTGTTTGTTTATATCACGAAGTCTGTTCTTCTTCTCTGTCTTCCGGTTGTTGCCTCTTTTGAATGACGAATACACACTACCATCGCCTGCTGGTAAGGAGAGTTATTGCCACTCACGCACTGAAGTCTTTGCGGTGTGTTCCCGTGCGACACATGGCCAAGACGCAGGAGAACACGGCGACGCAACAGTCGGCGTCGGGGAGTCCTCTGGTGACTGCTTGGTGTGTCAGGGCCTTTACTTTATATGAAAGGAAAATAGCATTTTCTATTTGACTTCCCATACTTGTTGTTTCCAATCTGTCTTTATTCATATCATCTAATATAGAGAAGTTATTTTATTTAAGTAAATGCTCTCATTTTGGACAGTATATTTTAAGATATATTTGAAGATAGAGTGTTTCCCCTCTTGATTATGGCTGGATCCAACTTTATTATGTTTTTTTTTTTTTTTTTGATGACTATATTGCCTTCAGATTTATTTGTATTGTACTTAATGTATGCACGCCACGTTACTGAACAAACTAATGTAAATTAAGGCATTGAGTGATTCACCGGAGAGTTTAGGGTTATAGTCTTTCCTTCATAATGTGTAATGTGATGGTATTAGTAAATAATAAGCAAGATTTTGACCAGTCAATGTACAACTTCCACCAGCAGAGGGCGTAAAAACATCAAAAATCTGTCAGACTGTCAGCTGGTTACAGTTTGGCGCTGATGCATCCTTGAATTGGTCTGCTTTGTGTAAGACCGATACACATTTAATGCAAAATCAATTTGACAAAATAAAAACAAATGTATCTCTTTCTAGTCCGAAATTGTATTTGCATCATATACTTTACCAGGGTGTTTGTTAAACATTATACACCTGATTCACCTCACGTGTTGTATAAGCAGTTTTATAAAACACATGCACAATTCTACAGCTGACTATACCATAAAATTAAAACTATGAGGCCACACATTACAAAAAAGAAGAAATCGTAAAGGATGTTTTCCCAATGTAACATGTTCAATTTCATATTTGGCATAGTCTTCATTATCACATTACATTACATTTCATTTAGCTGACGCTTTTATCCAAAGCGACTTAAAATTACCAATTAGGGACATTCTCCCTGGAGTAACTAAGGACCACACTAGTGGTGGCGTTCCTGGCGGGATTTGAACTCACAACCTTCCGATCACCATTTGTTTCTCCATCACTGACCTGATCAAATTCATCTTTAAGGTTATGACATCATTTCACTGAACAAGCTAAAGAGAAAACCGTAAATGAACTTCAAATGTTTGAACATCTCAGTGTTTGTTTGGTGGGAGGACATTGGATAGTCTTAGAAACCTATTTCAAGTTCAATTCAGCATTCTGGTGCACTTTAAGAGGAATATCAAAAGTTACATTTAAAGAGCCTTTAACATTTGTAACATTTCAGCATTAAGATGTCTAAATAAAGACTAAACTTATGTGATAAAAGTTGTCGAGCAGCGAACTTGCATTATTCAAAATAGATAAGAAATAATGTCGATATGTATGTCAAAATGTATATTCCCTTTGACAAGCTGACCTTTTATCCGGTATAAACTATTCTTTCAAATACAACTTTCCAATTGTTTCACATCGTTCTCATCATTAACTCTATATTTTAAGGATCATAGTTGCCAAATATGTCGGAATCTTAAAAGATCCACAAGCTGAGCATACTTTAGCTGCAAATAAAACAAAAGTCACAACCTACTCTACCTGCAACCTTATTTGAATCCTAAAACAATAGTTAATGTGGGGAAAACGTCTGTATAGCAATGCAGGAGGAGTCACCGACTCAAAGGAGTCACGGGGAGAGCTGGAGCTCTGATGTCAAACACTGATGGGTTCATTTGGAGCTTCGGCCGGAGAGTTCACAAAACAAGTCCAAGAGCCAGAGGTTCTGACTTAACGGTAGAGTTGCCGCGTCAATTCTGAAGAACTCTACCCCAGACCCATGTATTTAGCTAGTTCAGAGAGAATAATCAACATTGTGCATAACAAGATATAATGATAACACCTCTATCAGCTGACGCCAACAGGCAGGAACAGGGAGACAGAACACTGAGGGCACAGAAGCCAAGGTTACAGTTGCGTGTGCTCAGCCAGGACAGAATGAACTGATAAACTGGGTCAAAGCTATGGGCCTTGGAAAATATTTCCCCAACAGTTNGCGACCCACTCGAAACGGGTCCGCGACCCACTTTTGGTTCGCGACCCACCAGTTGAGAACCACTGCTCTACAGGACGAGTGGCTTTCACTGAAACTGTGATTTCTGAGTTTATTTTACAGTTTTGGTTTGTCTGTAGAGGAAGTAAAGAAACCGTAACTTGGGATTTCATTGTTGTTTGAGGTGCAATATATGACTCGGCAGCNTTAATGGTGTTAACTGTTGGGGAAATATTTTCCAAGGCCCATAGCTTTGACCCAGTTTATCAGTTCATTCTGTCCTGGCTGAGCACACGCAACTGTAACCTTGGCTTCTGTGCCCTCAGTGTTCTGTCTGGTTACAGTTGCGTGTGCTCAGCCAGGACAGAATGAACTGATAAACTGGGTCAAAGCTATGGGCCTTGGAAAATATTTCCCCAACAGTTAACACCATTAACTTCGATGAAGGCCAGGAGCTGTCTCTCTTTTTAAATGTCCTTTAATAGTGCTAGGACTCTTAAACCACAACAAATGTTTATCTGGATAGAACCACATGAATAGAGTCAAAGCAAAGACCCATCTCCATTATATCATGCCAGACAAACAGTATGGAGGGAAATAAAATACAACAGTCCACCAAAATCTTCAAAACGATCACGGCAACATGACCTCATAGGAAACAAAGAGCATCTTCTTCCCTCAGGAAACATCTGGGCCAACACTTCAGTTCCACAACTGATCAAAAGAGGCAAAAAAAACAGGGCGTGTCACCACATGATTTTACTTTTAAGTCTGTGGTGGAGAGTAATCAGGAGGATAATAGGGGCAACAAGGAAATGACCCTGTAATTCATTGTTTCCACTGAGCACTCCTGTGAGGTAGCAAGAAGTGCAGGACCTATACTGTGTATATCATACCTAGTATAACAAATAATTTACTAACAGATATGATGCAGTGTCATAACATAATATGATCAAAACTTTACTTTATAGAAACACTGAACTTCAATGTAAGTTGTCTTTCTCAATCTGGAGTGCTTTATCAAACCAAAACACTAAATATCTGTTCAAATGTGAGGATTTGCAGCTTTTCTCCATTTAATATGGCTGGAAATTGAATTTCTTTGGATTTTTGACAGTTAGAGACGTCACCTTGGGCCTGGGGGAAGTGATCATTCTGACATTTAAAAGACCAAACACTTACAACTCATCAGATTTATTGACAAAAACAAAATGGTCGAGGAAGTATTCAGATCTCTAAACAAAAGACAACTAAACAAAATGTTTGAAAGATTTAACAATTACAAAATAATGTATACATTATTTGGTCAAATGTATATTGTATTTGGAAGCTTTCTCCACACATTTGGTCTAGTGGTTGATTTTCATAGTTTGGGTTTTCAAGTCTTACAGCAGCAGCTCATTGAGAACCATGGTTTTGGAAAAATACATAATATTACCTATCATTAGCAGGCTCTGGATATTTGTCATCTTGACCTCAGCTGCCTTTCTGCCTCAGGTATAGCCTTCTCCTGACTTGACTAGGCAGAGGGTTTTTTGGAACTATTTTCTGTCACAACCAGCAACAAAAATACAGAGTAGCCACTAGCCAGTTAGCTAGTTAAGAGTGGGCAGGTATAGCTAGCAGGCTAACGTTTAGGTTTAAAGTTAAACAGCTAAGAAATAAACAATTCTCATCACAAACTAATTATAAAAAGAGTATACAACCACTTACCCATATTTTTACTGTAAGCATTATTCCATGAACATATTGTCAATTAACATAATACAGGCAACATTTGGTTCTTACCAGCAGCAGGACCTCCACCTGGTCAGGATATGTGTACCGTGAAAGGCTGCGCACACTAAGGGGCTGTCTCTAAATGTGCCTGCGCGCGAATGCAAAAAAGTAAATACTACAGTAATGTAAAACGTTTGTTTTAAATATTATGTATTTCTCTTAAATGTGAGAAAGCTTTGGAGAAGTTATGGAAAATTATTAATTATGTTCAATATGATGAATGAAGGAAAATAATCCATATGTATCATTTGTTCTCGAGTGTCAAATGTAGGCCTAACTGTCCATATACTCAGTTGGCGTGATTTGTTTCTGCAGTTCATATTATATAAAGGGACATTTTTGAATGCTTTAATTGAACACTATACATATTGTTCAAACTTAATTGAACCAAAGTCATTCACTTGCTAAGAAAAATAAGGCTTTAAACATTTCCAATCAATACTCAGTTATTATAATGTCCACCCCATTTATATCAATGAAGGCTCAAAACACAAACCACAGCCTGTATAACAAATACACCTCAAAAGCACCACAAACCACATCTTACTACATTTTTGTGAACATATCATCAGCATTAAACTGTTTCACACACTAAATCAGACCGACTTTATGCAGGTAGAATTTGTTGCAGGTCTGTTGTATTATAGTGAATTCGTTTCAGTAAGTAACTAATAAACTGGCAACTGGGTGTATAAACGGTATTCAAAATGTCAATGGCAAACACTATAGTGGTGATTAGTGTTGCAAGGAGGACATCATGTGCTAAGGTTACCATTTACTTGTAAAGCATCATTGTGTGGTAGTGGATGTAAGATAATGGAATGCTGCAGAAAAATAATAGACAGTTAACTACATTTAAAATGAAAGTTTATTTATTTTACACATCAATATTACACAGTAATAGGCCTTAATTGTGTAGATTAAACCATATTCACCTCAACTGTAGCACTGAGGTACAGCCTGAGTATTATCTCAGATAGTGTACCTTCGATAATTTGCACCCAAAATCAGCATAGAGTATCATAAAATAATTTTTGCATAACAAATAAATCCATGAAAATGAATCACAAGAAGCCCATCGAGTGGCATTCCTCGAAACATTTGTAAATTTCACTACATTATAACTGATGAATGAATTACAACCAAATGAAATTGTCAGGGGCAAGATTGCAGTGTGACTTAATCATACAGTACAAAGAATCACATTATATTGCACATGTAGAGTTAAGAATCTAAAAAGATGTTAAAGTTAAAATGTCCTATGCAAGAAGCTGCAACCAAAGATTCAGTTTGTCCTGTGCAGGGTTGGCAACTCTTTTCCAATAAAAGTAGCCAGCACTAGCTCAAAAAGTTGCTAAAAGTCACCACATGGAGCAATACAAACATTTGCATATACATTAAAAGTAACGGTTGTGCTTGATAAAGAGTGTTGCTGAGTATCATTGGAAATTGACAATATATTGAAATAATATAATAGGAAAAGAAAATATAATACAATTGCATATGTTACTTGCTTTTTCACTGATGATCTGAATAAATTGCTAAAACTTGGTGCTAGTTATTTCTAGTAGTGGCCAGTCAAGGCACCAATTTTAATACCACAGGGGGGGTTTAGTTGTCCTTTTCCAATTTAAAATTCCTAAAAGCTCTAAAATTCTGGAGTGACTGGAGCTTGATTGCACAGAAAAGATAATACAGTATTGATCAATACAGTACAATGACACATAATTGATTTCCCAGCAGCCTAATGAGGGTGGCCGATCATGCCTGAGTCAAGAGCATGCTACAACAACAAAGTAGTAGCCCACGTCATGCCACATTCACCCCATACGGAAACATCACATTTGATCATACAGCATCAGAATACCTCCCAAGACTGAAACAAGAAATATAAAATGGAGTCCTTGTGCATGAGCCATTGTGCCGTCAGTTGCATTCATTTCTTCGTGCAGAATTTGCTGTAGTTTCTACAGGCCTTCTGCATGTCTGTTAAGAAACCTGGAACCCCAGTCTGTTAAAGACAAACAGAATAAGAGCATCTATCAGGGAGTATTATGAACAGATGTGCAGAGAAGACACACCCAGGTGGGGCAACAAAGAGAGGAGTTTGTTGACATCATCTTGGAACACATCTGCTAACAATAATGATGGAAAACCATAAAGCAGGCCGAGGGACGGAACTCTCAGAGGCCTGGGAGAGAACCCTTTAAACACCCTCTTTAAAGTAGATCCACGACGAATGTGTTCAACATACAGTAGTGACGTATTGCTTTAATTAAATGGTTTCTTCAAACTTACATATGTCAGAGAAAGTATTCCTTTAATTACATTTATTAAGATGCTTAAAATAAAGTTTCCCTGTCACTTTTAGGCTTTTCCATGTCATGGCTTTTATTGTTAACAATGTTGTCCTCTTACTCTGAACAACAGCAGCAGCAGCATTAAATGCTGTATATTTTTATGATGAGATATTTTTTCTTTGGTTGGAACAAATGTGAAATTCCACACATAGAAGCAAACAATCAACCTAAGGTCAGTTACACGCTAGAAAAGAAAATACTTACATCTGGCTAGATGCATAGAAAATCTTACTTTGGTGGAAAAGAGGTATTAGACATCAACATTTATAAATATTTCACTATTTTGTGGCCTTCTGGTGTGTCGAAAATGGTCTCAAGAGTGGATTAATCTAGAAATGGCTTAAATCAAAAATGTATTTCCAGTTTTTTCAGCTAGGTTTGTTGTCTGGCAGTGGAAACATATATGTAAATGAAAACGGATGAGTCGCAAGTTTGGCTGAATAATTAAAGTTAAAGTAAGTAAAGTTGGCCATGGAGAACAGGATGGTACAATTGTTTTTCCCCAGTGTTGTGGATATTATCACATGACATATTATAAAACAAAGTTAGAGATGTTTTATTTTTTCCAAATTTTGTGCAGCTAACAGATCTAAGGAAGCAATACCGTATCTCCATATGCAACCATTCAAATCCGCTTCTTTGCAGAAAAATATCTCCAAACAAATTTAATGTACATAAAGTAAACTCACATTTTCTTAAAGCTCAATTGTTTATTTACTTCCAAAACTTGAAAATGTAAACAACTTACAGAACGAAATGCTCTAACCAGTCATGCTAAAATTACACTTTACTAATCCCAATGAGGAAATCATTTGCATGTAATCCATTTGTTCAGCGAGGCCAAAGCGCCAAAAGCTACTTATTACATACATACATACAGGTTTACAGCTTCTCCTTTTTTTATTCTTGCATTGTTTGTATTCATTTCAGGAATATTAAATAAATTAAAAGAAAAATGTGTGCACTGACCTTCGCTGCCCAGTTCACCAGCCAGGTGGGAATCATGCCACCAGGGTTGTCAAAGTAATTCATGAAAACTGAAGAAAAAAAAATATTTTTATTTTTGACAGTTAATGACTTCTACCATTAATTAATCAACTGTTTTTTTCATTGAAATTTTTTTTTTTTTATGAAAAGAAAATACATTTCACAAGAGCTTTTCCTGCCAAATGCTTAGATACTTCTTTTAAAAGTTAAAAGGGTTAGGTTTTTGTTGTTTTTGCATACATTTTCCCTATTATTATTATTTAGATTTATATCGAACATGTTTTCATTGACATCACAATATGAACTTCAGACATATTGTCCAAGCTTATCTACAAATATTCAATTCATAATTAACTAATCTGAAAATGCCAGACACCTTTTTGCTGCATAAATGTCTTGAACAAGTGATTTGTAAAGAAATGTCCGTCAAACTAATAATATACACGTTTTAACTGTACTAAACACATATTTAAAAACACTATGTTGCTGCGACATCCGTCTTTTGTTTTCAAATCCATTAAGTTGCAGATCTGACAAATTACACAATGGACACAATGACGTCAAAGACAGACAAGGAAGTTGTAGTACGACCGTCTGGCCACTACCAAAGTTTGTTTCAACGCCCTGCGAACTTCCTGGTTACTTGTTACTTGGTTACCTTTGGTTCCACAGCCTCCGTCGCTCTCCAAGGCCACGCTCTGCTTGTAGTCTTTGACCCGCAGCACACCACTCTTTTCGGAACACGGCGTCTCTGGAGCACTTCTGGCCAGGATCACCCAGATCTTCCTGCCATCCACATCCAGGTCTCTGCGCTCCCTCATGTACACATACTGAGGGTTCAGCTGTTAGGGAAGACTTTTTGGGGAAATATGCTCTCCATTACAGTATGATTTCAACTGTATAAACTATACTTTATGCTTAAAAAGGTTAAACCTTTAGTGTTCACATTGTTTGTTCGTTTAGACCAGAAGGATACATCTCTGTTTGACATAGGAAATGGGTATTTTACTTCCCAGTAGATTGCATTTTGTCCACCGAAGTCCTTCTCAAAGAGCTCTGAATACAAAAACAAGAAGATCAATTACTCAAAAATGGCTGTTAAAGATGAATTGAATATGTGTGTCCTGTTTCAATCTCTGAGGTTACTCTGTAATTTGTTGTTTTTCATCTCTTTTGGTAAGCAAAGGAATTGGTAAGGACATTTTGATGTTTTTCTTTGGGTTAGGGATAATCTGCCCATGACCAAATTATGGAAATAGAAATGAACAATAAACAATTAAAAGCATTCAGTAGGATACATGTGATTCAGTTCAGTACATTTACACCTACTAGATTATAAATACAATGGGGAGAACCTCATGTTGAGACTTCAAATGATCTAAGCCATCACACGTTATACAGTAGTTCTTGACTATTTCATGTAGGAATTACAAGTTACAAGAACATTTTACTGCAGAAATTAACATTACAAAAATACATATTACCTCCTGCACAATATTGTTTGCAAACATGTAAATATGAGCCACAGTTTCCCCTTTATAGTCATTTGTGCATTGTTGAAACATGGTTATTTGGGCATAGTTGGCTAACAATTGTGTGCAACTGACTGCTGGTCGACTTTATTATAGGAGGGGGAGACACCATAGCAAATACAAGAAGACTCTGCTACAACCATAGACAACAAACTACCCCAAAATGCCACTTTAGAAGAATAACCTACTTTAACTTCTTATAATATCACGTTGGACAAAAATGTCTTACTGTTTCTAACAGACTAGGGAGATACAAAAGGACAACAACATGTTACCTGCAGGTTACTGTAGAGTTGCATGGAGACAAGGACAACAGATTAAGCATGTTATTTCACTGTATAAACCATATACAGAACACTCGCTCTAAGAAGACAGAAGGTTAAAGACTGACAACAGAAGCTAACGTTTGTTACAGGCTAACAATAATGTGTGAATGTCAGTAATGTGTTGAGGAATAAAACCAATTATTATGAGGGAAAGTTGATTTGGATGGAAAGGAGAATGACAGTGAGAACCTCACTTTATTTGTATTACCTTTCACATATGTATCCCAATTTTTCCGATACGTCAAGTCCATGTAGACCTCTGCACACAGCTCTGCATTGCAGTTGTTGAGCACACCAAATACTTTGTACTCATAAAGTCCAGTTTCCTGAAAACAGCACATGAAATGTCTCTCTTCCAAATGTTTGCTACACACCACAACCACAGTATGTGACTAATCCCATAACCAAACAACTCTCATTAGAGCGGTGTGCATTACATCCTGTCACCCAAAGTGTGTTGGATTGATCCAAAAGCATGGAAACCGTTCTGAAGACACACCTTTCACAATGAAAATTGTACTAAACCCGACAAACTGCATTTCTAGGCACATATTTTGTGCCTGAAAGTGTGTCAACATGAAGAGAAAGTCAAGCCAAACACCATTCACAGAAATATAATTGTAGTTGTGTTGTGTTCCCTTGGCAGAGAACAGCACAAAAGGGTTTAATCCAAATAATTGCAAAAGATTATCTGGATTATCTCCAATGAAACTACAAAAACATATCAAGTTTACATGACTTTTGTTTTTCAGAATGAAATGTATGTGTAGGCCCTATTGGAGTCAAGGAGGTATAGTTCAAACACAGTGAGTGAATGACGATAACTTGGGTAGCTGCAGTTTAACATTTCAATTTGACTTGATCTTTTAAAAAGCTACTGCCTTGATGGGCCAGATGCATGCCGAATTTACGGGTGGATCTTTACAATTTACATAATGCATTAAATCAGGTTTGACAATGTGTGTATACGTGTCCAAACTAAAGCAGAGGCAACTTTAAATTGCCACATTTGTAAATGGAGTTTGGTTAGACTGGTCCAACAGCTCTCAATTCAATTTCCGGATAGTTCTCATGTTGGCCGCTAGGAAATCACTGCAGCGGTTTTTTATTTTTTACCCATGTTGTCATCAAATGTATCACTCTAAAGATAACAATCTTATCAATTTTGGATAGACAGGAAGTCGGTGATGATACCGATAATACACAAGGAAAGCCGATACGGAGTCATTCATTTAGTCACGAGCAGCCCTCTTCCTGTTGTAAAAGCAGCAGTTGTATTTTAAATTCTTATAAATACCTTATCGTGGAGCCGGTAGATCTTGACTCCCATGGTCTCGGTGAAGAGTTCCCATCCTCCCTCCAGCTGCGGCTCATCCAACTCCTTCCACGCGCTCTGAAACTCCTCATCTTTAAACTGCAGCGACATGACGGCTCGCGCTCGTTCCTCTGATAACAGACACCTTACCTGTCTGTCACAAAAGCGAGAGCACCACTTCCGGCTATGGCTTTCAAAATAAAAGAGCTCGCAGTTAATAAATGCGTCAAACTGGAATAACTGGAATTACAGTAACACTTCCATTGGTAGAAATGTAATTTTGGGAAGCAAGTATTTACAACTATAAACCAATATAGCATATTGATCATTTATACAAATATATGACAAAATGACGCATGCGAAAAGACATGCCACTCAATGTATATTTAAAACAATTAAATAGTTGTTTAATTACATGTAGCTCACTTCTTCCCAATCCCAACACAGGATTTTAATCATTGTTACATACTGTATGTATTTTACATTACATTACATTCTATTTAGCTGACGCTTTATCCAAAGCGACTTACAATAAGTGCATTCGACCAACAAGATACAAACTTGAAGAAAACAGAATCATATAAGTACATCAGGTTTCATAGAGCCAAAAAATGTCAAGNTCAAACAGGTCTCTCCACTGGTCTTCATTTGGGGCTCGCGAGCTTAACCATCCTTGTCCGTCCTTCCCTCATCCAGGGTCCACTTGTATTTGCAATGGAGGAAAATATCTTTTGAAATTATTTCTGAGCCTTTTACCTTCGCTCTGTCATCCAACTCCTCTCACTAAGGAGGCTCCTCTGTGTCTCCATCACTGTTCACAACTCTATCTGGAGTCGGATGTCAATTTCGTTCATCCTGTGTTTCAGTCGAGGTTTATGCTTTGTTGAGCTCTCTGAATGTCTTGGAGCTGGTCTCCTCTTTGTGATCTATTCCTGGCTTACTCTCTGTGGCTTTTCGCATGCCTGTTGATGTTTTTGTGTAAACCTGATGGGTTTGATGGACATCTTTTCTTGTTGTTCCCGAATGCAAGCTGAGAGGTTACACACAGGGCAGCCAGAGCTGAATCCATTCCTCTCCGGTCACGGCCCCAGTATGGAACACTTGCTCTGGACTGTCCAGGTGAGCATGTGCTTAATTAAGGATGGCATGTATCCTCAATCTTCAATCTGAAGGGCTGACTTGCTCTGGTGACACACACTGCACTCAAGATATCTCCAATAGTCTTTGATTATGTGACCAGCATGCAAACCAAAACTAGTCATCCACTTTATGGAATTTTTCCTCTTTTCTTATTTTCATATGAAACTGAGACATGTACTTCCTGTGGGTGATGGTTGTGTGATGAGAAAACAGTTGTGTTTGGGCAGAAGGAAAACCTTTATCTTTTCGGATTTTGTTTACATTTTCCATCAGATCCTTTCGATCCACGCCTCGAGTGGGATTTTCTGTAAGTCAATTTTGAGCATTGAGTGCAGACATTTTAGTTCAAAAGCCAAGTTTTGTCTTTTCTTTTCTAGCTCCTCTCTTGGGCTTCCAATGCATGCTTCTCTTCAATGCAGCCACTGCGTTCTTATAGGACTGCTAAATGTGCTTCAGCTTTGATTATTGCAGATGAGCGGTATGATAATCTGAAGGATTTCTTGGTCTGGAATCATTGTCTTAACCAATAACATGTGGGTGCAATGTCCTTAGGATTTACTCGTCAGAAGATCCCTTTCTGTCCTTTGATGCGACTTCTTGCATCATCTTCATTGTCTCTTATTAAATTCCACTGTGTTATTTCACAGGAGAAAACGCTGCCGCGCGTCAGAGTGCAATCACTTGCGACCCGTTCCCCAATTCCGACTTATTCTTTGACTTTTTCCACTGTTCATTATATGCGGCGAACAATGACTCCAGCATCTCCAATAGTGAGGCCGTTTCCTATACAAGCCATCTGGGCGAAATGTTTCATCATACCGCCCATGTTCTTGCCGTTGTTGAGTCCGTCAGGCGGTGTGTCTTTTTAACAGTGAAATCCAATTACTCCCTCAACGGACAATCAAAACTCCACAAAAAGACCTTCAAAAACAATCCGCTTTGACGGCCAAGGTTTTTCTTTGTATCGGCCAACATCTATAGAATAAAACCAGTACTTAATTAAAATATACAGCCTATGAGGCACTAGTTAGCGGATCTTCGCAGGGCAAAGATCCAGGTCCAGACAAGATTCTCCATTTGTGCAATTTATCTCCAATAATCAAAAGACAACGAACAGGTTTCCTTATCCTTTTTCCTTCAGCCTTTCCTATGGCCTTCCTTTTTGCTGCTTGAAGCACCCTGGTAAAAAACCCTTTTGTATAGTGTCTGGCTCCCACCACCCACCTGTCTCCAATATTACAATTACACCAAGTGCATCTATTCAACCCAGTGCCAAACAGCCTTCAAATAAACAGCATAGAAACTACTTTATACTTTAAAGCCTACTAAGAATACATATAAATATACTGATAATTTAAAAATAAACAGCAAGAAAATAAATGTTACACTATTAAATAATATAAAGAGATATATAGTCAAAAATATCTTCTCCGTGTTATTCCATACTATTCTCTCGTTTGTCCCATTTCTTCCGTACTCTTTACATTTTCTTCCATCCGGCTGCCAATTTGATCCCAGTTTAGCCATCCTTGTTGTGCTGGCTTTCGAGTTATCCCGCATGGCATCTAAGCTAGTCTGCAAGCGCGACCCCAGCTAGGTGTCTCGTCATTGCTAGCTTTACGGCGTTAGCGTTAGCGGCTGACTGTGTTCCGTCCTGTGACCTGCATCTCTCCCGGCTGTTTCATCCTGAGCTTAGTTATCAGCCTCTCGTGACTTGGAGACTCTCCCTCCACTTATCTGTAGATACATCTTCGGTCTTATATCCGTTAGAAGCAGCTAGCACCAGATTCTAATAACAACAGCGCTGGGTAGCCGTGCCCTCCCTCTCTCCCTCGCTCCCCCCTCTCATTTGGCTGTGAGCTGGCGCAGATAAGCCAACATCCCCATTTCTCACTTACGCGACCCATCGTACAGGCAATATGAAAAGTGTAACCGGGTGAAAAGGGTGTTACATTGACTTAATATGTAATATGTTACATTCAGGCCGAAAATGTAGATGAGCACCAACTGTCAAAAAAATTGTTTCCCTCCCAGAAACTGCCAGCGCATCGCCTCCCCAGATCTGCGCGCCCTTAGCGCGAACTCTATAACGCGGCTACGGCTTCCGCCCTGAGTTCAGATCATTAGGTTCATATCATAGACCCAGTTGGGTTTCTCAACTGGTGGTCGCGCCCAAAAGTGGGTCGCGGTCCCGTTTAGTGGTCAGCGGAACGGTGAGTGAAGACAAAAAAAGAATTGGAATATTTTTTTTTTTTGGGGAAAAAGTCAAACTTTTATTTTGAAGGCCCGATTTTCTAACGCTGTGCATGCAGTCGACGTTGGACTGGAAGTACCGGAGATCATAAACGGTTTTGAAAACTTCTGTCACGTAGTGATCATCTTCTCAATAAAACATCTTTGCTGATGTTTTTTCGAGTCTTCTGGCCAATCAGAATCAAGATTGTTGCCGGAAGTCCCCACGGAGAATAGCTTTGCGGTAGAACTCTTCTTTATACATCCATGGGTACAACTTCAGATAAAAATGAACACATAATGAAATATGACCCCCGGTTTGATGATTGACAGGTCACAGAACAATGGGAGCTATCTACACTTAAAAAAACAAACAATGGCATAAAATATTATTAATATGTCGGGTAGTAATAGATTTATTTATTTTATTCTCAGAGTGTACCAGAATGTGTAGTTTATGTTAGTATTTCTAAAAATCTCATGGGGGAGAATCCCCCCAGACCCCCCTGCTGGGGTTGGGTTTTCAGAATGTGTGCCTTTTTATATAGTTCAGCTTTGATTCCATCATCTCATTAAACCTTTTTTAAAAGCATACTTTAGTTCTGTGAAGGGATATATGCACTGTACTTCAATTGTATTAATATTGTATGCTGAAAAGCGTATATATTACAGCACGTTTTTTTGTTGAATAGATTTGAGTGCTTCAAAATGTTGGGTCGCGATTTATTGACCAAGTAAAAAGTGGGTCCCGAGGCCTGACCAGTTGAGAACCACTGCTTTAAAGGATAAACCCACACACAATTCTAATAAAAAAGCAGCTTTTTGCAATATGTGGTTTCGTGATTTTTAAATGCCATCCCCTGACTCTTTGAACTCTCCCATGCAGACATTCATCTGTAGTGAGTTTTGAAGGACACTATATACATACATGTCTTGAGCTACAATCTGTACACACAGCTGAATGCAACATGTTGACGGCCATCAAAGGTTGAAGATAAAGGAGATTTTTCAAAACACTTAGTCAGAAAACTAGGAGGACGCTCAGAAAGCTCAAATCTCCAACAAGGCCAAATGCGACATTCAGAAAAGCGGCAGAAGAAGTTTCTCACTACAGGATTAACTCTGTATGTGCCAGTGTGTTTCTTTTTCTGACTTTAAAACATATCACATCTTACCTTGTTTCGAGCTCTCTGTGTTCTGTCAGCAGTTTTACAGATGTCTCTTATATTGGTGCTCTATGAGGGAAATGCAATACTATGGCGATATCCAGATCTTGTTGTACATCCATTGTGTTTGAGCCTAAATGCAGCGCACAGGAAACCAGGAACAGTTTGCTGTGATGTTAAATGTCAAAACTGATGAGGTACAGGGCAGGTAAACAACACAGGTAAGGACTCAAAGAGGTGGAGGTGTGAGCATGAGGCTTAAATACTGACTTGATTGGAGATGAGAAGCAGCTGATGAGAGGGGCGTGTCTCTCTGAAGGGGCGTGTCTCTCTGAATCTCCTCCTAGAGCACCATTGTGTATTTTTGAACCAATCATCTCTCAGAGGGGCGTGGCCAGCAGCAGCTCATTAGCATTTAAAGCTACAGACACAGAATCAGCACTTTTGAAACAGGGCTGAAACAAAGGGGATTATGGGATGCTACAATGATCTGTTTGGTGTTTCGAGCCAAACACTTCAGAGACATGTATTGTATATATCTGAGACCTATAATAGATTGTTGAGAAAGAGTATATAGGGGACCTTTAATATAATGAACCCCCTCCAATTAGCACTCTTAGGACCACTGC